ACTACAGTGTCGGTAGCACGGGCAATATGAAATGGATGCATGCGCTCTTGAACGAGTGTTTGAAACCAGGATACTGGGGCGCCATTGTAATTCATCGCTGGCATCAAGAGAGTATCAATGCTTATAAATTGTTACGTAAATTGATGCGCTCATCGTAACATTAGTTACTGCAACGTAATGGGTGACAATTAACATGAGGAGACAGTTTATCCACTAACTGGGACATTCCCACCCAACGATTGTCGCCACACTGTCGGGTGCACTACGCCGTGAAATTATCTTTTGCGCCAATAACGCACAGGTGTTGGCAAAAATGGCGAGCGTCACTCGTGACCTCATCGTACTAGAGCTTGAACATTAGCATTCGTAAAATATATAGCTCGCTTCCTTTTTGTAGGAACTGAAGAAACTGAAGCAATTCGCTGTCAGTTTGAATCAATATGTACATACATGGGGTTTTCTTAGGTAAGGCGCCACCTGTTTTATTACATTCTTCCGCGCTGTCATACAAGGCAATGGATACATGTAGCGTTGCGTGAGTTTTACGTCTCTGCGCGAATGTATGCGCTATTGTATTTTGGTCTCAGAATTCTATAGTCTAGTAATCTATTGCATCGCATTGTTCGTATGAATGCATCAGCGCTGGATCTGCCTGTTGTGTACAGCCACGTTTAGACAGCTAGGCGTCTGTAGAACATCTTGTGAGGTACATGGTTAAGATGTTAGCGCAATAAAATAACACATGAAAGGAGCTCACGCAAATTCTTTCTCACAAAAGTCTGGTGTTCTGTCATCTACACCCAGTATCGCTTAATGGCGCAGTCGCCACGCCCATACCCCACGACTATTCTGCGTCAATCTAAGTCAAACCAACTTTATAGTACCCGTGTATGATATAGTATGTTTAAAAACCGAGCCATCCAGCATCTATAGGCACATACGCGTGTACCTGCTGAAATCGCTCGCTAACAGGTAATTACACGAAACTAGTTTATAATACAGCTTTCCGTCTCGCTTTGCGCATTCGTTGCCACTTGCTTCTTGTGTTTAATAGGTAACGCGTCGGGATCACACCGTTCGAGAAGCTTTGTAATCAGTGTACTAGAATGCCACCGTATTTTTTTCGCAAATATACATAATCGGAAGAATGAACGTCGTTCAGACCGTCGAGAACGGACGTTTTGTCTCTACTCCTATATTACAGGCTCTCCAACTGTAAACGCGACTCTGTTTCGGGCCACCTCTCCGGATACACCCGTCCTTAGGGTAATATATGGTGATTCGCACCGGGTAATTACAGGGCTGCTATTCTGCAGTGGAACGGGCCATTCTCGCTTCGTCTGCGAAACACAGTGAGAGGATATGCCCTTAATCCACGCGAGCTGGCATGAGACAATGCGATAGGTGTTAACACTATGAAGTGGCCATGCCGTCCATTAGCCTCAGCCCAATTTCGCTCCACATTGTCGTGGGCAATAAATATGATTGTGTGCTCTTTCGGGAGGAAAAAATCCACACAGGAAACGTAAAAACCTGTACGCGTCGCTGCGAATTATGGTTTTTCGAGCCTGTGCAGGAAACGGTTGAATTATGCAAATGTAGCTTACCAAAAACTGGTATTTCCGTCAGATAACACGCTTATGAAACTTTCCAGCGGGTAAACTCATTAAATATGCTTAAACTCACCTGCAGCTCAATGCCCTTGTCTACTATAGCATATATATATATATATATATATATATATATATGTGTGTATGTGTGTGTGTGTGTGTGTGTGTGTGTGTGTGTGTGTGTGTGTGTGTGTGTGTGTGTGTGTGTGTGTGTGTGTGACAACACACACACACACACACACACACACACACACACACACACACACACGCACGCACGCACACGCACGCAGCGCACGCGACACACACACACACACACATCCGCACACACACACACACACACGCACACACCACACACACACACACACACACACACACACACACACACACACACACACACACACACACACACACACACACACACACACACACACACATACTTGTTCTGTGTGTCAAGTGGGGACAATCGTCTGTAACTACTAACTGGGACTGGCATTAATAATTTACAGTAGGTGCATAATATTTTCAGAGTAAAATATTGATACCCCTTTGAGCATTGCTGGATAAAAAAAATTATATTTAAGTACATATAGCATTCGCGTTTTTTACCTAAGAAGTGAGGACACACTAGTGTTATGACCGGGGTCACACTATCGTGTTACGACCGGGGTCACACTAGTGTTATGATCGGGGACACTAGTGTTATGATCGGGGACACTAGTGTTATGACCGGGGACACTAGTGTTATGATCGGGGACACTAGTGTTATGACCGGGGACACTAGTGTTATGATCGGGGACACTAGTGTTATGATCGGGGACACTAGTGTTATGATCGGGGACACTAGTGTTATGACTGGGGACACTAGTGTTATGATCGGGGACACTAGTGTTACGACTGGAGACACTAGTGTTATGGCCGGGGACACACATTCCAACGCATTTTATCAACCAACTGGGACATATAAATCTCAAGTGGGAATAGATCTCCATTTTCTGCTGACTGGGGAATAGCTATATGAAGTGTACAATTATGCTACAATGTACTGTGAATTTGAAGTTAATACGCCCTGTCTTCCTTACTAGAAACTTTTCTGCAAATCATGCAACGACCACATATGAAACTATTTACAATACGTTGCTTATTACGTTTTTATTTTTAAAAAGAACAATTGCAATATAAATCGAGAAACTGTATTTTGGTTGCTATAGATACTTCACTAATGTACAATTTTTATTGAGAAACTTCACATTGACAACCAAGTATTCGAGTATCAGCTAAGTTTCTCTCTAATAATTATACTCTATTATCATGCAAAAAAAACACATTTTGCTCACATTGATGTACTGCAACGTGGCAATTAACTATATAGAAATCAAACAGATTACGCTTACGCTCAAAGTGACAATTTTCACTCTAACAACTAGATATTCTACAACCACACAGCTAAAAAAATACTGGATTTTAAATAGAAAAACTGCAACTTCACAGCTAGATACCATAGTATCATGCAAACAATTCTGAACTGGACTTTGGCAAATAAATATTCAAGTATCATACAGAAAACCATCATTATATTCTATTCACAACACTTCACATTTTTGTTTGTATAGACCGCACCGCAAGTAACTGAAGTAGAAATGATATGCTAAATCAGTTAGGACTCGATTGCATGGTATTAAAAACGCACCATGCTCAAACAGTTACACTGTTAGTATTGCAGGTAGCACTCTTAAGATTTTTTACTAATGGTGCAGGATAATAAGGATTCTAATAATTTAGGATTAGAGGTGATTACTAACCAATGAATGTATAACCAACAAAAACATTTTTAAAGTGGCAAACCTACGCACCACTTAAGATAATTATTTCTAATGTGATCTTTTACATTTGTCCATAATCTATCTATTGTGAAGAAACAAGAATGTGACAATAGACTGCTTACTTGGCAATTTTTTGTTTATAATAGATGAAGCAAAATGCCTGCATGCTTACAGCATCCTTCTCAAAGGTTGTCAATTTCTTGAAAACAACTTTCTTTTTATTCCGCTTTCTCTCTGTATTGGTATGTGTTCTGTCTGAGTGACAGGCACCTTTCTCTTGTTGAAATACTCTTTCATTGTTTGTGTCTTCAATGTCACTATCAGAGTCACCACAATCATCCTCCAACTCAACCTCATCATTCGCATCTATACTTATTTCACTCAGCCCCTTTCCAGCACATTCAGCAACGTGACCTTTTTCGGTTGCCATAAGGCTAAAAGCCAATTAGAAACCAGAGCAATCTGCATGACATCAAGGGGCAGTCGGTAGAATGCAGTATGTACTCTTATATCATGACCGAGAAAGCTGGCTAGTATATCCAAATCGTTGCCTATCGCTTTACCATCGCAGCTTTCTGATTCCTGTGATACTAAATCGTTGCCTATTGCTTTACCATTGCAGCCTTTTCTGCTTCCTTGCGTTACTAAATCGGGCCTATCGCTTTACCATCGCAGCTTTCTGATTCCTGTGATACTAAATCGTTGCCTATCGCTTTACCATCGCAGCTTTCTGCTTCCTGCGTTACTAAATAGTTGCCTGTCGCTTTACCATCGAGCTTTCTGCTCCTGCGTTACTAAATAGTTGCCTATCGCTTTACCATCGCAGCTTTCTGCTTTCTGTGATACTAATCTTGCTATCGCTTTACTATTGCAGCTTTCTGATTCCTGTTGATACTAAATCTTGCCTATCGCTTACCATCGCAGCTTTCTGCTTCCTGCGTTACTAAATAGTTGCCTGTCGCTTACCATCGCAGCTTTCTGCTTCCTGCCGTTACTAAATCGTTACCTATCGCTTTTACCATCGCAGCTTCTGCTTTCTGTGTACTAAATCTTGCTATCGCTTTACTATCGCAGCTTTCTGCCTTCCTGTGATACTAAATCGTTGCCCTGTCGCTTTACCATTGCAGCTTTTGCTTCCTGCGTTACTAAATAGTTGCCTATCGCTTTACCATCGCAGTTTCTGCTTCCTGCGTTACTAAATCGTTGCCTGTCGCTTTACCATTGCAGCTTTCTGCTTCCTGCGCTTAACTAAATCTCCT